TTAAAAAGTCGAAGAAATGTGCCTGCAACATCCTTCTATCCTCAGTATGAAAGGACACGAACGTGATGGTTTGCAAATAGAGGAAAATCTTCGCCAATCGAAACGCCATTTTTTCGCTTTGTGAAACGAGCTGCGCGGCACAGTTTAAACCGGATGTGACGTCACTTTTTGGTGGATGATCCAGATACGCGAATTTCAGGAGTCTTCTGCCCCGCCCCTGGCTGTCAGGTATAAACTCAAACTAAAAGGGTTTCAACTACTGTTTCTTTAAACAAATCGTTATATTCCAATAGACTCATTTATTTTCGCCTTGATCAATACTACGCACAATCTGGGCCTTGCAACTGCTAAACAATAATTCGTTACTGGGATTTTTAATATGTAGTCTGGGAGTATGTATGATAGCCCCCAGTGATCTCGGTGGGACTTGGAATGGTTTTGCTTAACAGCACGGTCCACGGACTGCGGCCTGCGGACTGCGGCTTGCGGACTGCGGACTGCTGACTGCGGCCTGCGGACTGCGGCCTGTGGACTGCGGACTGCGGACTGCGGACTGCGGACTGCGGACTGAAGGTGGCAGAGATCTCGCAGCCTCGATTTTTTCATCAAAGCTGTCTCAGAGTCTCGATTTTTTGAAAGACCAATAAGAAAGTCTGGAAGTTCCAATTTTATTTGTTTGTTTGTAAAACTGGCGTCTGAGCGTCTTATGGCGATCTATTCGACCAAAATTTCGGGGCTGAGGCTGTAAAATTTCTTGATGGCGAATGGACGGTCTCGTTCCATTCCATTCGCAAAAAGGGCTTCGCATTCTTGTTTAAAATGGAGGATGCAGGAGTTAAAGTTAAATAACGATTTCGACTTTATCAATGATAATGTGCGAGCTGTTTCATGCGCAGAAATTTATGCCGCATAACGGGTTATTTTGAGGAAATCGTTCCCAGATATTTGCCGTTTCAGTTCAAACACCACTTCATTAATAGCCAAAACCTGCACTGTGTTGTGACTACCCATGAATGTACGAATAACACCGATAAATCCGCTGACATGCTGCATTTGTAAGTGTTTTTCTCCACGTTGAAGACAGAAAGTACAGAACAGCGAGGTGCTGGGACTGAGAATGGGTCGGAATAGTCAAATGGATGGTCAATTTTCGATCATATCGGACCGGTCCAACGGAGGAAGGTGGTCAACCTGGGAAGATGGACCGGCTTTTTCGAAACTTTTCCGGTTGGACCGAACCGATCCATTCAGTTTTAGATCGAATTTTCCGGAAATTTTGGTTGAATGGATCGCGCCCTTTAATCAGAACATATCGCACTCGCATTTAAAAATGCTTTGAAGCTTCGGTCTCGCAATTTAAAAACTCAAAATGTCTCGGGCTCGTACAGAAAAACGCTAGTTTCGTCTTCTCGTAAAGTCTTCCATTTACCGTTCGCCACCCTGTCATCCAAAGCTGGTAGGCAGACCAAAGAAACGGGGTGGGTTTTGAATTCTGAGCGGAGTTGGCAGCAACAAAAGATATGGCAGTTCAGGGAGGCAGCGAACATACACGGACGATGACGGTGATGATGATAATGATGATGTTGATGAAGATGATAGTAAATGGTTTGAACCCAGGAGTATCAGCAGTTCGTATTTTGTGAGCTACCCTCATCCTGACGATCACGATAATAATGATAATGACCTTTAGCGAGTAAGATATAATAATAATAATAATAATAATAACAATAAGAATAATGATGATGATGATGATGATGATAATGACTTCATTATCGTGTCAATCACATCTAGCAGTGGAGAATGACCACTGCTAATAGGGGACACCTAACTAGAACTATCTGAAAATAATATACAGAAAGTCCTGTAAGAGAAATTAAATTTATGAGTTACAAAGATGGCAGCCACTAGATCCATCTAGGATGTTGCCTAGATCTAGCCTCCGTGTCCATTCATCGCAGTTTACTTTCAATAAATCACTCATTTATACTCCTTTTTAAATAGCCTTACCAAGAAAACGATTGGCGTTGGACCTGTGGTGCGTGAGCAATATTCCCGTCACTCACTAACCATAACTCCAAAGGCCTAAAACGCTGCAAAACACAAAAAGTGACATGGGAAAATGAGGGAAATAGTAGACATTATCTCAAGTTTGTACAACTCCATCACTCAAGATAAATAAATATTTAAACATCAAAACCTCTCATAACTGGTGGTTTTGATTAAATCTGGTTTTCTACCCCCCTCTTTCACCTGTGGTCCCATGGTGTAATGGTTAGCATTCTGGACTTTGAATCCAGCGATCCGAGTTCAAATCTCGGTGGGACCTTTCAATTGATATCTTTTTTCTTTTTTTTTTTGGTGCCAGGCTTTCTGCAGTACTAATTCGAATTTTTAAAAAAGGGCAAGGAAAGAATCCGGGGTAACTACCTAGGATCGATCGGGCAATTTTTTTTTTATATATTTAACGGGCCTACTTTCACTTCAACTGTTCAATATATGGCGCCAGAACGAGGAAATAATACGATATTGATATTGATAAAAACTTGAGAGAATCCCATATTTTCACTGAAAGTATAATTTTGAAATGCGTAAAGCTTCTATTGCAGTGTTTTCAGTGCTGTTAGGCGCACCGAGTTGAGAAATGCGCCCTATAAAAAAGTATGAATATTATTATTATTATTTATTTTCTAAATACCGCTCGCGTCTCTAGCCACTCTTTCTTTTTCCCTTCCACTCTCCATAAGGTCATCCCTCATTCTCTCCTCGTAAGTATCTTCACTGAGGAGCCCACTACACGCAGGCTGAGCAATGGAAATTTCATTTGCATTTCTTTCAAAGCGAATGTGCAAACGAGAGTTAT